AGAGAAAAGAAGAGAATAAGTGAAAGAAACTATTTTTATTTCATCTCCCTATTTGTGCTCTTCAGAAAACTACAATTCCACAGAACCTGAATTTGAAATAGCTACACATATTGAACTATTAAATAGTAGGTAATAATATTTCATGACTGGTACGCCAACAATAGGAAGTGTTTGGGTAGAACGAATTGCTATCAGCTGGATGACTGAGGAGTCAGAGTTCGAGTGCCGATGGGAGCAAGAATTTTCTCTTCACGTAGTGCTGACTGGTATTACGGGCCTACACAGCCTCTTACCCAATGGGTACAGTGGCTCCTTCCATGGGGATAAAAGGGCCAGGGAGTAAAGCTGAACACTCACCACTAGTGCCGAGGCCAAGGAAAACGGAGATTTATACATCCCGTCCCCCGTACCTCTTCATGGCGTAGTGCTATATTAGCTAAGCACAAGGACAACATTACATTTTATACAATGCTACAAACAGAATACAGGAAGTTCTGAATGAGGTCATGGGAACTTTTCCTGTCTTCTACGTTTAATCTAAATTCGTCATGTTACATTCTTCGTGGCCTTCAAAAGACAGATTTAGGTTTCTATATCATGGAGTGCGAAGTAACAGAGTTTATTTTTAACTTGAGAAGACTTTTTCTTCTGCTGGTTCGTTGGCGTGTTGTAAACTTGCGAATAAACGGAGTAACAGTGTTGAGTTTAGAGTCGTTAATCAAAAACGAGAGTTGGTGAGAAGTTGCCAGAATCTTAAAGAACGCGAGTGTCTTATTTTACATAGAAGTTATTTGCTTCAGGGTTAAATTTCCTCTTTCGTCTTCTCATCCGAAGTTTCTGCTTTCGATGCTTTCCCCAGAAAATGAATCATTTTTTAAGAGTTCCATCATCTTGGATATAGCGCCATGTAATCCGCTGAAAGTCAGCCGTGATTTCGGAGGACCATCTCGCATCCATCTTCAGGGTCGAATAATAATAAAGGAAGAAAGTAGCATAAAGCAGGTAGCAAGCTCTGCTACTATCGTCGGTTGTCTTACAGAGGACTACAAGGTTTTATATCCCAGAAGGCAGAATTCTTCATAACCACCGTTGTGAGAACCTCAAATCTACCTGATTAATTTATGTTTTAATAATTATTATGAAAACATTACCACAAGGAAGAGTCAATAAATAGGTCACAAATGGAAGTAAAGCAGCTGTAATTGATTTTCTATGTGTAACAATAGATGGTAGCACAGTACACCTTCATGACAGTCTAGGTAGCAGACGCGCATGGGCCTATTCAGAGGCTGGTTTCAGTAGTCAAAATGGCAACCGTGCTGGAGGAGTATATTACCGAAGAGCAGCTTCCTGTTGTGCGCTTTTTGTGAGCGAAAGGACTCAGTGCAGAGGATATTCAGAAAGAAATGTTTCCTGTTGATGAGAGGAAGTGTTGGTCGCATAAAGCGGTTCCACCTGGTGGCAAATGTGTTGCTGATGGCGAAGAGATTGGAACGGGGATGCGGATGTGACTGAGGACAAGAATCTAAAGATTTCTACGCTGCGAGTTTCGTGCCACTGGTAAAGCGATGGGACAAAAGTATCAGAGTTGGTGGAGGATATGTCGAGAAATAAACGTTTTTTACCAGGGTCGAATATCACATGTTTTACTCTTTGTAACCATTTGTGTCCTCTTTGCTGACTCTCCCTCGTACTTCATGACTTCTCGTAACTCTCGGTAGTATTGTTTTTATGTCAATGGGTGTTAGTACGTAGCAAAACACCTGACATAAGGGTTTTCTGTTGCGAAATCTGTACGTCAGGCTTCTCATTTCTTCTGCAAACCTAGGGTCTTGTTTCGCCTGGATTTTCTTTAGGATTTCTTCCACTAGACGAGCTTTCTCTCCTCTGTTACTATGAGATTCATTTGACTACTTATGTAAATTATATCCAGCATTAAATTTGAAGTCCTCTCTTTATCCATATTATCAATATATTTGTTTTAAACTCACACTCTGTAGGTACAAGTTTTTTCCTGAGCTGTTGGTTTTTAACAAACTTCTTGGAGAAGACTCCATTTTGAGAAGATGGATGTGATATTCCCGCGTTTTGAGCAATATGACGATTCCTTATCGCATCCATAATAGTTCGTCAGTGGTCAAAACTGATTCTGTAATGTATTCGTTTCTGCGACGCGGTGTTGAAACCCCATCGAATAACTCAAATGGAGGACCATTTCTGTCGGCTCTTCACTAGCCTGTATTAGCCATACTTAGTACTCTCAACTAATTTCTATATCCAGAGCATTTCTCCAACCATAACACAAAAGTTGGCCATAACGTGGAGGCAAGGGATTCAGTTACCTACTTCTGTTTTTAAACGCATAAAATTTTCTCCTCAAAGTCAGAGATCACGTTTTAGAACCATACAAAACAACGAGTATACTTATTTTTTGTGTACCTTGACTTGAGACCAGGGATAGCTCAGTCGGTATAGAGACGAGTTACAGGCTGGACTGCCGGGTTTCGATTCCCTACAGGGGAAAGATTTTTCTCTTCTCCACAGGGACTAGGTCGGCTCTGGGGCCCACCCACCTTCCAATCAAATGGTTACCGGTGGCAAATTCTCGAGGGGTAAAGAGGCCAGACCGTGAAGTTGATCATTCACCTCCATCTAGTGCTGATATGAAGAAAGATGGAGCTATACCTCCATTACCCCATATGTCTTCATAGCATAGTGCTTAATTGAGCACAGGGACAAATGTACCTTCCTTTTTTAAATTTATACCTTGACGTAATGTTTTGGAAACTATGTGTTTCTTAGAGCTCCGGTGGGTGTCTTGTCGATATATATGAACATTAAACAACTTAATACAATTAAGGTGGTCCAGGGTTCATTCATTATCCTTAATGTCGTTACCGATTTCGTACTAGACATAAAAAATTTATCTTATAGCACTTTTGAAAGGAAGCTCGAGGACCAGTGCATAGTAGGGATGGATTCTGTATCATAAAATGTCTAGCAAGCAAGTTTATTGCATCAAATGAAGATTGATGGTGGCTATAAGTTGGAATACGTGTAATAATAATGAAAGTCTGTAGCCCCGAAGAGAGACTGCTTATGAAGGGTGACACAAATTTTGAGCTTGTCCTTCATGCACAATTTTAATGTAAAATTTACGCTTAGCAGACGCTTTCTGCAGAAGGGATTACACATTTCATGTTAACATACATAATCTTCAGATTGCTTCAAAGAGAAGACGTGTAGCTAATTAAGGAAACAGAAGTAATACTCTTCGATTTTTGGGTGTCGTGTTTTAGTCAGATATTACTGAAACTTCCATGAACACTTGTGTTGTAATAAACACGAAGCAAATTCACATGCAAATGTTAAGTGTTAATTGATGCTAATTGAAATTGGCCAGAAGTGAAATAATCAATATGAAGGCCCCACAGTTCAGGCCACGCCATAGCTCAAGCGGTTAGTCGCTGGCTTCCCACCACGGCGGCCCGGGTTCGTTCCCGGGTATGGTCAAGTGGGATTTGTGGTGGACAAAGTGGCGCTGTGACGGGTTTTCTCCAAGTACTTCGGTTTCCCCTGCCAATCTTCATTCCACCAAATTCTCCATCATAATCACCCGGGGCAGACTACAATAGGCCAATCAGTGGCCACCGTGCCGAGTGGACCCAGTTGGACTCCACCCCCCACTAAGTGAATTAAAAAAAAAGGCCCCACAGTTCGCATTTATGTACGTACTAAAATATGTTTAATTACATGCAAATTGTGTATTATATGCCTGTACATCAACGTCACATTATCATAAGGAATTAAGAATAAATAGAATCTCATTTCAGCACAATCTAGATTCAATAAAGAGAGGGATTTCTATATTTCCTTAATTTTAATCCTCACTGGAAAAAAAATAATCATTTATTTTCGCGTAGATTGACTTATTATAACTGAGAATAAAAGGCCTCGGCAGTATGATGAATTATACTGTAGCGACATATGCGTGAATATAGACGGGGTATGGACTGGAAGTTGTATTTATTGATCATTTGTATACAGGTATATCACTCAGAACTGCACCAGATCACTGACAAACCCAGACTAGTATTCGAAGTATGGTATTGTCTCCACTAGCCGTTTCCTGGCAACGGATTCTACCAAGGGAGATTCTTCAGCTTCGCGCGTTCAGGTTCTCTTGTCACAGTCGCCCGTGCAGAATTCTTGTCAACTGACAACCAACTGGGTCTCAGGTATATGGTTATATCGCACCAACCTCCAAATATCCTCTTCACAGGGTCACTTTCAATTGAACTCTCTCATTCGTTAATCAGTTACTTTACGTCACTTCACTGAGTTGAACTGCTGACAACTGACCCAACAACTAACTCGTTATCAAGTCACATTGGGAATTACGGTCAATTAGTCTTGGAATCAAGCCCAATCCGGGTCTTATGACCAGATATTTATTTCTGACTGACAGTTGCGGTCTTGTAATTGTGGGGCTCCCTCTCTGACGAGAGGACGGGTCTGTCTTTTGTATATTCTGCTGGTTCTTGCCAGCGCAGTCTTTCTCGTGTCTAAGTCCCTTGGGACTCACGACCATATTTTGCTCTCTAAGATTTGAGACTTCCTTTTCGTCACCTCCTACGACTCGCAGGGTGACGGTGGAGGTATTCGGTTCCGCCTCCACACATGTTATCGACTAAATTCAAGACTTGTCCTGCTTAGAACACCTCGGCATAGACAGCGCAGAAAACACAGTTCTTCTGTTACTGTTTGCGGGCCGCTTCCTAGCAACTGTTGTATAGCTGGTTATTTCGTGGTCGTTGCCTAAGAACGGGTCTACATGCAAAAATACTTTGAAGCGAGCCTATCTCATTCTTCTATCATTGCAATTCGCTCTAATCTAGAATTATATCTATTGTATATACGGCATCATTACATAACCTGTAACTCAGGCAACCGTAATTAGCAGTCAGCTGATTCTGAAGTTCATCCTTCCTTTGTTTCAGGACGGTGAGTATTCAAGTAGGATCGACAAAAGGACGCGCCTTAAGATAATTGGAAACACGGTAAGTGTTCAGTAGGTAAAATGAATTACAAGAAATATTGTTATGTAATCCATTGGTGTAGGCCTATTCTTTGAAAGAACCTGTAAAAATTTAATTTAAAAAATTACAATTTAAATAAATAAAAATTACAAGCACCTGTTACAGCTGTACTGCCAATGTTCAGCAGTAAATAAGCTATTTCGACTACCAATCGGCGGCACTACAGGGCGTACAAAATATTACATTCTCTTAAGAGTAACTCGATTTTCTGCCGGAGAGAAATTGAGCTTCATGCTTATTTATTTCAAATGTTAGCTCATGGGTTACCTTACTACTTCTGTTTTCTTTATTTGGCAAGGTTTCAGTAGCAGAACTTATCTGGCATCAGGCTAAATGGGAAAATTGTTATGAACAGTGTGTGAATAAGGCCTTGGAAAGAGGTAGTTAATTTTCAGATTTCTAACCAGATGCTGGCCTGGAAAAATAGCCTTATCATAATATATTGTTTTGAATTTGACATTGAACTTTGTTTCATGTTCAGGAACGAACCCCAGCCCACCTTTCTCTTTTTACGTAGTTTTGCATAATATTCAAAATATGATACATAATTCTTTCCACATCTAGCATTAGTATCCTTTCATATACATCTTACTCCCTCCCAGTATTATACCATTTCAGCATACCTCTAAGCTGCATTTGTTTTCTCAACTTCTCGCTTATCTTTCCTCCCCTGCGTCACCTGAGACATCTCTTGTTGTGCAGGGAGCTGTCAGTCTTAGATAAAGCTCAAGACACCACTGGGAAAATAGTTCATCTCTCCCCCATCTTATAAACTTATCGCAACTGTACCTACATAATTTTTCTTTCTATCTTGGCTGGAATGTTAGTATCATTTTCATTGTTACGAATTGCAGAATTGTTTCTTCTATATCAGATTGTATTTCTAATGCAATTTGTATAGCCGACTACAAGAAACTCTTTTTAATGAATGAGGTAGTGAAAATATTTTTTGCAATATTATTTATATTATTATTTTTTTTCATTGGCGCTACAGCCCTCATTTGGGCCTAGGCCTACCTCCATGAAACTCTCCATTTCACTTCGGTTTACTAGATCTTAGACATACGGTAGGACTCCTTGGGCGGGTGATCAGCTCCTCGCAAGGCCTCTACCTGTACACAAACACAGAAAAACGCACACAAACATCCATGCCCTGCGTGGGATTCGAATCCACGATCCCGGCTTCCGAGCGAGCGAAGACAGTGCATGCCTTAGACCGCTCGGTTACCGTGACCGGCCATATTATTAATAATTATTCGTAATGTAAATTGATTACATTGTATTATAATATTAGTGGTTCATGTTATAGGTTTCACGGCAAACTGAACTGGGAACTGAAGTCCCAGTCTATAAACCTCTAAGATCCACTCTTTCATGTCAGTAATTCCATTATGAGTTAATTAATTGTTTCAGAATAAGAAATGGCTTTCTGTAGAATCGTATATAATATAAACATTTGACAAGGAAGATGAAATAGATGGGTCATATTTCACGAGTGGGAAGGTGAGATGTAAATGCATAAGTTTAGACAAAAACTCGAAAGAAAATATTTAGCATGTACAAGCGTGTATGGGAGGTTAATATTACAGTATATATAAAAGATAAATGAAATTCGAAAATATGCACTGAATCCGGATATAGTACAGTCGTGGACAATAATACAAGCTAATAAATATTCATATCGTTACATGACGCCTGAAAGCCAGAATGGTTCATTGTTAGGCAACGTCTCGGTAAATGCATTTCCGCGGAAACAAACACGCGCAACAATAGATGAGCGGAGTTTTCTGTGGTCCGCGCCGCGTGCGTTGCTAAGCAGTGGTGTAGTAAACACATCTTTGCAGCAGCGAATCAACACGCAACAGCAGAAGAATAAGTGTTTTCTGTGGGGGCCGCCCCAAGGCCATGTAACGAGAACCTCAGGCGGCTGAGAAACAGAATTGAGGGAGTCAGTCGACAGCTGAGTTCTGCGAAGATTATAGAGAAGAGAGGGTAATGAGATAGTTGGCAGCTGAAGTAGAGAATGAGAATTGAGAGAGTCTCCTAAGTTGGTATTTGGCAGAATAACCGAGAAGAGATGGCAAGAAAGGAATTAGACTGTGCAAAGAAGACTTCATGTATGATTTGAAGTTACAGTGAGACTGTGATAAATCCGTTGCGAGGAAACGACTGGTGGAAAGTGTAATAGACTGAAGACACTTGTGTGTGTAAGAGTGACCTGTAAAGTGTGGAAATAACGATAGCGCTGAATTTGCCTGTAGTCCCGAGTTGTGTGCATAAGGTGTCAATAAATACTGCCATCAAATCGAAAACCCGTATAATAAGCCAGTGACTCCCCACTACAGTAATCTGTAAAGTATTTCGAATTTCTGAAAAATCTCGGTGGTTGTTTGGTTCTCGAAAAGCACTCTGCTCCATGAATTATTTTGTTTGGTAGTTCGTTATTTGGTAATGGCTGTTCATTACAGGAGACTTGTATTATTCGGAATTTCATATTTTTGTCTTTACATATAACATGGAACATTTTTTTAGTGCATCGTATGGTTGTATCTTTCCGAAATTATAAGGGCCGAAGTGGCTAACGGAGTCAGAATTAGTGCTGCTTTTTATTTCTATATCTTCAACAATTTCAATGCTGTAAACGAGATAACGCGCTCAGGATTACAGCTATATTCTGCTTTTAATACTTTATTACTTAAATGTCAGAAAATATGCTTATGTCCGTTGTTTATTGTCGATTAAAATTAAGTTCAGTGTTTCGTGATTGTTTTCCTTCTCAGGTATTTTTAAAGAAATCTGAATTAATATCATCGCTCGTTTTTTACATTACACAAAACTTTATAAACGTTCACTTAATTATTATAATTACTTCTGTATTAAAATAATCATTTTCTAAGTAAAACAAGTTTCGTAAGCATGTGTTTTATCATTATATTTACGGAATTTAAGGCTATTACAGAATTGAACTGTGAGCATTAACACAATGCATCAACGCAGGTTACATAGGAGCAAGCTGTCTTTTGTTTCTGTGTATCATGTCCGTTCTGCGAGTATTGATAGTATTCTGACGTGGATGTATGAAGTGTGGTGTACTATATGAAGGAGAATACCTATAATTGACTGTTTGTCTGTTCTATTCATGGGAGATGGCGTTAAATATCAGCCTTGATACATCATTGAATAACAGGTAGGACTAGAATTGGATGCTAGAGGAAGCATGGGAAATTAATGGTACAAAACTTTTCATAATAAATTATATTATACGAGATCTATATATTCTTTTGAGTAAGTAAGTGTATGAACGCTTAGTGTAAAAATTCTGGCACGTTCTCACCCTTTTTGACCGTACGCCTTCTTCACTCTTATCTCTTGCTCTATTGTCCTCTGTTGGTCCTTGCAGCTTTTTCAATTTCTTAATCTTTTACGCAGTCAGTAGAACTCATTGGACGGGGAATCAGGAAGTCGCAAGGCCGCTACCTGCACACACAACAGCACAAACACAGAATAAATGCACACAGACATACATGACTCAAGTGGGATTCGAGCCCACGATCCCAGTGTTTGTGCTGGGGAAGACAGTTCATGTCTTAGACCGCGCGGCTTCTGTGATGGTCCCGTCGACCTTCTAGGAATAGTGTATTGGGCACAAAGATCATATTTCAACCTTGTATTTAAAGTATGTGCCTATATACTTTTTCCGATAGTGATGCAGCTGGTTATTTGTGAATTTCACTAGATATGTATGCCTAAACGCACTTAGGACTTCTTTCAAATTACTTAGTTAGTTAGTTATTAGAGAGGGTGGGTTTCCCCATGCACTTAGACCTGTAGTGGTCCATTGTGCTTCCCTCTATGATTTCTACCAGCCTCTATATCCTACCGGTATTGGTGCTTAATCAGTCCCGCCCAGCCAGCGAGACCGGCTCTACTGGCTGAGAAGTATCTATAATGCTTCCCCCATCTACCGGAGGTATTAGTGACTGCTGTTGGGCGGCAAACGTCCGCAATTTTGGCTCAGTGACCTCCTTTGGAGATATGAGGTTCTCTTACGTGCCGTAAAGCTACGACACGGAACCCACGGCTTAAAGTCCCTCCCGGAGGACTTGTTCCCTGAATTTTTCCGCCCTTAAAAATTCGACGACCTCCGCCGGGTATTTGAACCCGCGTACTACGAGTCATGAGGTGGGAACGTTACCTCTAGACTACGGAGGCCGCTTTCAAATTACTTGGTATTGATTCTCTTTGTGAATGTAAAAAAAAATTATGGCAAACTTGACAATTTCAAATCTCATGAATATATAAACAGCGGTTCTTGAGTTATTACATGCTGACTGACTGACGGACGGACACAAATTTAGCTAAGCTAATAGGCACATCACCTACTATTTTCGTTGTGGACGTGCAAAAACAAAGGGCTGTCACATCACATACGTCTCCTTATAACACAGTGACACCGAGTAGTTATAATTCTCTTAAATATAAAACATATTACTTTATATATTAAAAAGTATAAAGTTGGCATAGTGACTAGACAGCGGCGGAGGTAGTTCGCTTTATGAATTGTGCCTTATATGGTCATACATCAGAGAGGACGGACCAAATCAAGGAGGATCTTATATTACAGAAAATGAAATATAAATAGTTATAGCAGAACATAGTTTTTGTTCATATATACAACTCATCCGCATGGTACGTCAGTGTACAAATTACTATATTGGTTCATATATGTCTATGTGACTGTCATAGTTTTTGTTCGGGAAAGAGATTACCCAAAGAAAACCATGACATTATGTTTTGATTCCATATTTTATTTTATATATCACTACTTACAAGTGTCCTTCTTGTCCTGCAAGTTATAATTTCAGAGGCGTCATGCTTATAGAAGGATAGCAAAACGCCCGCCAC